ACAAATCAAGAAATACACAAACGAGCAAATGACCACATAAACAAATGAACAAATACACAAATGAGCAAATGAACAAACACGGAAATGAACAAATAACCACATAAACAAATGAACAAATACACAAATGAGCAAATGAACAAACACGGAAATGAACAAATGACCACATAAACAAATGGACAAATACACAAATGAGCAAATGAACAAATACAGAAATGAACAAATAACCACATAAACAAATGAAGAAATACACAAATGAGCAAATGACCACATAAACATATAAACAAACACACAAACAAACGAATGAATAAATCTCCCGGGATCCCGGATGCAACCTCAACCCCACCCGGAGATCTCTGGACAGGGAGAAGAAAGCAGCCTGTAAATTTAATAAAATATCCATCCAGAATAACCGAGCTTTGGGATTTCTCCCCCGTGGGAGCAAGAAGACACGGGTGACCCCGTTGGGCCTGAGACGTTCCAGCCTCCCCCTCTCTGCAGACCCTTCCCCACATGCACGAGGCCCCCACCAATTGGGGTGGGTGAGGACCAGGGAGGGGGAGGCGAGGGGGATGCATGCAGGGGAGAGCCGAGTGAGCCCTCCGTACCTTTGCGACATGCATTTGGGGCGCACTCTGAGTTCCATAAAGCGCAGCAGGGAAGAAAGAGGAGGAAGTTAATCAATCAGTCAGGATAGACCGGGAAGGGGCCTTGGAGGTCTTCTAGACCAACCCCCCCTGCAAAGGTCGTACGTGGGAGTCCGTTGCCAAGGGTCTGGATTTCTCATCCCATGAGACACATGGGGTAGGGGTGGTCTTGCATCGGTCGTAAGTGTGGAAAAGTGGTCCCTTTTTTTTCCAGCCATGTTGTAACTTTGAAGGGACACTAAATGAACTGCGGTAAAGTCGAGGGCGACTTGGATTCTGAGGACACGGTGCGGGCTTCCATCTCCCCAAATTGCAAAGGATTTGGGGATCCCAAAATGCTGGAAAAGCTACAACGTCTCATATTCACTAAACTAAAGCAACGCTTTTTTCAGCCGTGGTCCCTTTAAGAAGGGTGGGACTTCAATTCCATGCTGGCTGTGGAATTCTGGGAGTTGAAGTCCATCCTTCTTAAAGATACCACGGTTGAGAAATACTGCGTTAAGTGGGTAACTACCATAGGTTACAGACAGAGGGATTTTGCTCTCCTGGAGTTATCCTATCCTCCTGAAAACATACAAATAAGTGGTTTCTGCAATCTCTCTCCCTCTCTCTCTCTTTCTCTCTCCCCCTTTCCCCCCCCTCTCCCTTTCTCTCCCTCCCACCCTCCCTCTCTCTTTCTCTCTCTCTCCCCATCCATCCATCATCTATATATATTCTATCTATCTCTATCATCTATATATATATTCTATCTATCTATCATCTATATTCTATCTTTCTCTCTCATCTATATCTATCTCTATCATTATCATCTCTATTTCTCTCATCTATATTCTATTTCTCTCTCTCATCTATATCTAACATCTATCATCTCTATATATTCTATATCTATCTATCTATCTATCTATCTATCTATCTATCTATCTATCTATCTATCATCTATCTATCTATCTATCTATCCATCCATCCATCCATCCATCCATCCATCCATCCATCCAATGTAGTCCTAATCTGTCTATGCCTGCCTGCCTGCCTGCCTGCCTGCCTGCCTGCCTGCCTGCCTGCCTGCCTGCCTATCTATCTATCTATCTATCTATCTATCTATCTATCTATCTATCTATCTATCTATCTATCTATCTATCTATCTATCTATCTATCTCTAATCTGTCTATGTCTGTCTGTCTGTCTGTCTATCTATCTGTCTATCTATCTATCTATCTATCTATCTATCTATCT